ATATCCTAGAGGTATACTCCAGATAAAGTATATATCCTAGAGGTATACCCCAGATAAAGTACATATCCTAGAGGTATACCCCAGATAAAGTACATATCCTAGAGGTATACTCCAGATAAAGTATATATCCTAGAGGTATACCCCAGATAAAGTACATATCCTAGAGGTATACTCCAGATAAAGTATATATCCTAGAGGTATACTCCAGATAAAGTACATATCCTAGAGGTATACCCCAGATAAAGTACATATCCTAGAGGTATACTCCAGATAAAGTATATATCCTAGAGGTATACTCCAGATAAAGTATATATCCTAGAGGTATACTCCAGATAAAGTATATATCCTAGAGGTATACTCCAGATAAAGTATATATCCTAGAGGTATACTCCAGATAAAGTGTATATCCTAGAGGTATACTCCAGATAAAGCATATATCCTAGAGGTATACTCCACATAAAGTATATATCCTAGAGGTATACTCCACATAAAGTATATATCCTAGAGGTATACTCCAGATAAAGTGTATATCCTAGAGGTATACTCCAGATAAAGTATATATCCTAGAGGTATACTCCAGATAAAGTATATATCCTAGAGGTATACCCCAGATAAAGTACATATCCTAGAGGTATACTCCAGATAAAGTATATATCCTAGAGGTTTTACTCCAGATAAGTTATTATCCTAGAGGTATACTCCAGATAAAGTATATACCCTAGAGGTATACCCCAGATAAAGTATATATCCTAGAGGTATACTCCAGATAAAGTGTATATCCTAGAGGTATACTCCAGATAAAGCATATATCCTAGAGGTATACTCCACATAAAGTATATATCCTAGAGGTATACTCCAATAAAGTATATATCCTAGAGGTTTTACTCCAGATAAAGTGTTATATCCTAGAGGTATACTCCAGTAAAGTATATATCCTAGATGTATACTCCAGATAAAGTATATATCCTAGAGGTATACTCCACATAAAAAGTATAATAATCCTAGAGGTATACTCCACGAAAAGTATATACCCTACGGTATATCAGATAAAGTGTATACTAGAGTATACTCAATAAAGTATAATCCTAGAGGTATACTCCAGATAAAGTATATATCCTAGAGGTATAACTCACATAAAGTTATACTAGAGGTATACTCCATAAAGTATTATCCTAGAGGTTACTCCAGATAAAGCATATATCCTAGAAGTATACTCCATAAGTATATACCTAGAGGTATACTCCAGATAAAGTATATACCCTAGAGGTATATCCAGATAAAGTATATATCCTAGAGGATACTCCAGATAAAAGGTACTATACTACTACTAAACAATAAACTATACTACTACAACATACTACTACACATACTACTACTACTATATACTAATACAACTACTACAATACTACTACTACTACTACATACTACTACTACTAACTACACTACCACTACAATATATATACTATATACTACTACTACTATAACTACAACTACACTCAGTACTAGAAACTACTAATTACTACTACTACTACAATATACCTATACTATACTCACTACAACTACTACTACTACTACTACAATACATACTAACTATACTACTACTACTACTAACTACTATACTTCTTACAACTCTACTACTACTACTACTCCTAATACTACTAATATAAATCCTACTACTCACTACAACTACTACTAGTACTACTACACTAAATATACTACTAAGTACTACAACTAACTACTACTAATACTACCTAACTACACTATTACTCCTACTCCACTAATATACTAAGGCTACTACTAATACTACTATACAACTATACTAGATACAATACTATACTATTACTACTACTATACTACTACTACAACTACTACTACTACTACTACTACTACTACTACAATACTACTAACTAATATACTACTATCTACTACTACTACTACTACTCACTACTACTACCTACTACTACTAACTACACTACTACTACTACAACTACTACTACATACACTACTACAACTACTACTACTGACTACACTACACTACTACTACTACTACTACTACCACTACTATACTACTACTACTATACTACTAACTACTACTACAACTACTACTACTACTACTACTACTACAACTACTACTCTACTACTACTACTATCTATACTACTACAACTACTACTACTACCTACTTACTACTACTACTACTACTACCACTACTACTACTACTATCTACTACTACTACTACTACAACTACTAACCTACTACTACTACTACACTACTAACTACATACTACATTACTACATACTTCTACTACTAATTACTAACTACAACTTACTCTACTACTACATACTACTACACACTACTACTACTACTCTATTACTATACTACTTACTACTCACTATACTACACTATACTACTACTACTACTACTACACAACTTACTACTACTAACTCACTACTACTACTACTAACTACTACTAACTACTCTACACTACTACTACACTTACTACTACACTACTACTACACTACTACTACACAACTATACTACTACTACTACACTACTACTACTATACTACACTACTACTACTACTACATACTACTATTAACTACACAACTACTCACTACTATCTACTACTACACTACTACTACTACTACTTACTACTACTACTACTACAACTACTACTACTACTACTACTTACTACTACTACTACTACTACTACTAATCTACTCTACTAAATACTGCACACTACACTACTACTACTACTACTACTACTACTACTACTACTACTACTACTACTACTACTACTACCACTAACTACTACTACTACTACTACTACTACTACTACTACTACTACTACTACTACTACTACTACTACTACAACTACCTACTACTACTTACTACCACTACTACTACTACCACTACTACACTACTACTACACTACTACTACTACTACTATTACTACTACAACTACTAACTACTACTACTACTACTACTACCACTACTATACTACTACTACTACTACTACTTACTATACTACTACTACTGCTACAACTACTACTTACTACTACTATTACTACTACTACTACTATTACTACAACTACTACTACTACTGCCACTACTACTACTACTACTACTACCACTACTACTACTACTACTATTCCTATTACTACTACTACTACTACTACCACCACTACTACTACTACTACTAATACTACTACTACTTCTACTACTACTACCTCTACTACTACTACTACTACCACTACTACTACCACTACTACTACTACTATTATTACTACTACTACTACTACTATTACTACTACTACTACTACTACTACTACTATTACTACTGCAACAACTATTACTGTAACTACTACCACAACTATAACTACCTCTACTACTACAATTACAGTTACTACTACCATTACCACAACAACTACATCTACTACTACAATTGTAATAAAGTTGGTAGAATTACCGACAATATGTAAAGTAAAAGGACACAAGTGCAACTAATGTGACATTTATTGTGGCAACGTTTCGCTCTCCAGGAGCGAAACGTTGCCACAATAAATGTCACATTAGTTGCACTTGTGTCCTTTTACTTTACATACTACTACAATTGCAGTTACTACTACTATTACCACAACAACTACTGCTACTATTGCTATTACAACAACATCTGCTAATACTACTACTACAACAACAACTACTATTAAGACTACTATCGTAATTCTACTATTATCTGAGTTATCAGCTAGTGGTATCCTGCTTCAGGATACCACACTAGGGGCCAGGAGCTATGACTTGACCCCTGCAACCACAATTAAGTGAGTACTAACTCCTAGGAACTTATTTCCTGCTTGGAGAACCCCTAGGAACTTATTACTTGCTGGCACAGGGACCTGCCCATACATCTGGACTCTCCCGGAGATCGAACCCAGGTCCTTTCGGGTGTGAGCCAAATTCTCTGGTTGGGAGTCATGTTTAGCATCACGTAGCCATGGCAATATATTGATAGATTGTGATAGATTTATCCCTGAAACTATATGGAATGAGATATTATTAGTGTTAGTAGTAGTGGTAGTAGTAGTAGTAGTGGTAGTAGTTGTGGCAGTAGTAGTAGTAGTAGCACAGTAGTAGTAGTAGTAATAGTAGTGTAGCATGAGATGTGAATACCTGTCTAGTACCGCTGGGTGTGAGTAAGACTTGCCTAGCCTGGCTGGGTGTGAGACCTGCCTAACCTGGCTGGGTGTGAGTAAAACCTGCCTAGTCTGGTTGGGTGTGAGTAAGACCTGCCTAGCCTGGTTGGGTGTAAGACCTGCCTAACCTGGCTGGGTGTGAGTAAAATCTGCCTAGCCTCGTTGAGTGTGAGTAAGACTTGCCTAGCCTGGCTGGGTGTAAGACCTGCCTAGCCTGGCTGGGTGTGAGTAAGACCTGCCTAGCATGGCTGGGTGTGAGTAAGACCTGCCTAGCCTGGCTGGGTATGAGTAAGACCTGCCTAGCATTGCTGGGTGTAAGTAAGACCTGCCTAGCACGGCTGGGTGTGAGTAAGACCTGCCTAGCCTGGTTGGGTGTGAGTAAGACCTGCCTAGCATGGCTGGGTGCGAGTAAAACCTGCCTAGCCTGGCTTGGTGTAAGACCTGCCTAGCCTGGCTGGGTGTGAGTAAGACCTGCCTAGCCTGGCTTGGTGTGAGACCTGCCTAACCTGGCTGGGTTTAAGACCTGCCTAGCCTGGCTGGGTGTGAGTAAGACCTGCCTAGCCTGGCTTGGTGTGAGACCTGCCTAACCTGGCTGGGTTTAAGACCTGCCTAACCTGGCTGGGTGTGAGTAAGACCTGCCTAGCTGGCTTGGTGTGAGACCTGCCTAACCTGGCTGGGTGTAAGACCTGCCTAGCCTGGCTAGGTGTGAGTAAAACCTGCCTAGCATGGCTGGGTGTGAGTAAGACCTGCCTAGCAAGGGCCAGCAGGCCTATCCCAAGGCTTATTTTCCTTCACATTAAAGTCCTTACCGCACTTGCTGTATCCCAGGATACTAACTCCTAGTTGTCTCTTCATGCTAGGATGACCTGGGGAGCGGGGGAGATTGACCCCTGAAATCGACCACAGAAGGGTAGTCTTGTAAGGCTGGGGTACCCTCCTTCCTGTTGAACTATTGTTATTATTATTATTATTATTATTATTATTATTATTATTATTATTATTATTATTATTATTATATTATTATTATTATTATTGGTATTATTATTATTATTATTATTATTATTATTATTATTATTATTATTATTATTATTATTATATTATTATTACAGAGAATTTAGGCTACGTGTGGCACCGGAGTCGAATGCCACAATGGAGTGGATTATTTTAGGTTTCACTCACCTGGCACTGGTGTCAGTGTTGCTACACTCAACAGTGTGCCTTGTTCACTTTGTTGATGAACACGTCGAGTGTAACTCTCACTACAGACTCCTCCAACACTAGAGTTTATGTAGTGGTTGTTCAGTAAGGGACAGACTGGGTGTACGCATGACTGTGGCAGGTGGGGCTGTACACCTGTCTGGTCCTAAATGTACACCTGTACTCTCTCTCTCTCTCTCTCTCTCTCTCTCTCTCTCTCTCTCTCTCTCTCTCTCTCTCTCTCTCTCTCTCTCTCTCCTCCTCTCTCTCTCTCCCCTCTCCTCTTCTTCTCTCTCTCTCTCTCTCTCTCTCTCACTCACTCTCACTCTTTCAACTTACTCTGAGGGACTGGGGTTCGATTCCTGGATTAGTCTAGACACACTTGCATGTGTGTCCAATTCGTTAACCTACAAGTAAATAGGTACCTGGGTGTTAGCCAACTTGTGTGGGTCGTATCCTAGGGAGAGAATTAAAGGACCTTAATGGAAATAAACCAGTCTGACGACGTGGATTTATTACGTTAACACTTTTCTCACACATTGAGGGTCGGAGTTCGATCCCCGGTACGGGTGAAAACATCAGGACGTGCTAATCCAAATTCCCCTGTCTGTAAATAGGTACCTATGTGTTAATCGACTGGTGTGGGTCGCATCTTGGGGATAAAATTGACCTAATTTGCCCGAAATGCTTTACATAACAAGGGGCTTTCTATATGATCTCGTAGAAATAAAGATTATTATTATTATTATTATTATTATTATTATTATTATTATTATTATTATTATTATTATTATTATTATTATTAACAAGGCTCGACTACCCAATAACTAGCAGATGACAATAGTTCACATAGATCCCTGATAGACCAGTGTGACTGAGGTCAATATTTTGACACCAAAAATGCCAAGGTAGCCGTCTTAACACTAGTCATATGTTATCTCAGGTGATAAAGCCTTGCAAAGTCACCTGATACCTGGGAACCCCCATCACTAACCTGAACACTAGTACCTTGCTCAAGTGTGTCGATTAAGCTTTAATGTGGAAATGTTTCGCCCTTGTTACATTGTATGAATTTTAATTTTTCATATGGTAACTGTATGTCAGTTAACATCTTTAATATACCCGCAGTCAATGGATTACAAAGGTACATAATGGGTCCAAGGACTGGGCAAAGTTACAAAGTTACAAAGGTAATGAACTATTTGCATGTTTATATCTGTTTATGTGAATGATATTCCGGAGAGGAATGATTGAGATATATCCCTGTTTGCTGATGATGTAAAACTATTGGGAGTAAGAGCAGATAATGATAAGGAAAGGCTCCAAAGGGATTTGGACAAATTGCAAGAGTGGTCAGAAAAGTGGTTTACTTAACCCCAGTAAGGAGAAGGAAACGAGCAAGAAGACCGGAAACAGAGGCTACAGACTTCACTCAGGGAGAAAGACCTAGGGATAAGTATAGTGCCCTGTACAACCCCAGAGGCTCACATCAGCCAAATAACCTCTTCAGCCAATGCTGAAGTCCCTGAGGGACCTTAGAAAAGTGTCAATACGGGACCTTGATACAACATACATTAGACTCATCAGTATGGAAGGTCTTGTAGAAGTATATTACAAAATACCTGGGCAAGTGCAGAAGTTTATAACAAGGCTTTTTTCTGAGCTCAGGGGCATGAACTACAAGGAGAGGCTAATGGAATTAAACCTAACGATATTGGGGTATAGAAGAACCGGGGGAATGGAGTTATAGATGAGCTACAGGGATGTTAAGAAGTATTTCTTCAGTCTCGGAGTGGTCTGGAAATGGAATGATCGTGGTGAGGAAGTGGTGGAGGCAGGCTCCTTACATAGTTCTAAGAACAGGTACGATAGGGTCCACGAGGCTAAGAAGAAGCGTGAATCTGAAGAATGGTAAGCTAAGAGGCGGGACCAGGAGCTGAGAATCGAACTCTGTAGCCACATATAAGTGAATACACAGCTACGCATGCGCACGCACACACAACACACACACACACACCACACACACAACACACACACACCACACACACACACACACACAACACACACACACACACACACACGTCAAGCAACGTCAAGAAACTAGAGAAAGTACAAAGGTTTGCGACAAGGTTAGTTCCAGAGCTAAGGGGAATGTCCTATGAAGAAAGATTAAGGGAAATCGGCCTGACGACACTGGAGACAGGAGGGTCAGGGGAGACATGATAACGACATATAAAATACTGCGTGGAATAGACAAGGTGGACAAAGACAGGATGTTCCAGGGAGGGGACACAGAAACAAGAGGCCACAATTGGAAGTTGAAGACACAAATGAGTCAGAGAGATAGTAGGAAGTATTTCTTCAGTCATAGAGTTGTAAGGCAGTGGAATAGCCTAGAAAATGACGTAGTGGAGGCAGGAACCATACACAGTTTTAAGACGAGGTTTGATAAAGCTCATGGAGCGGGGAGAGAGAGGGCCTAGTAGCAACCGGTGAAGAGGCGGGGCCAGGAGCTAGGACTCGACCCCTGCAACCACAAATAGGTGAGTACAAATAGGTGAGTACACACACACACACACATATAGGGGATATATGATAACGACATATAAAATACTGGGAGGAATAGACAAGGAGGACAGAGACAGGATGTTCCAGAGATGGGACACAGTGACTCAGATGAGTCACAGGGATGCTAGGAAGTTTTTCTTTAGTCATAGAGTTGTCAGGAAGTGGAACAGTCTGGAGAGTGATGTAGGGGGGGAGGGGAGGATCCCTACATAGCTTTAAGAAGAGGTTCGATAAAGCTAATTTAGAAGGGAACACCGGACCTAGTAGCAACCAGCAAGTAGGCGGGACCAGGAGCTATGAATCGACCCCTGCAACCACAAATAGGTGAGTACACACACACTCGACCTAGCAGATAATCAGAGGAGTAGACAGGACAGACAGAGACTGTTTGAAAGGAAGGAAACAAAGACAAGGGAGCACAGACAGAAGCTAATGACACAACTGAGTCACATCGAGGTCGGAAATGCTTCATCCTGAGGAAGCTTAGAAACTGGAACGACTTTGTTGAGAAAGTGGTGAAAACAGACCTTATTCAGTTTGTAGAATACATATAACAGGACTCAAGAGATCTGGAATCTAGTGGGTTGGGGATAAATTTAAAATTTTTGTCCTTTTAAATATTGTCCGCTTGTTTTTTGGTTGTTTGTTAAAAATGGGTTAATGCTATCACTATTTTCAGTTGAATATGTAACGGGAAGGCCCCACCTCCCAAAATATTTTCAGTGTTGTATGGGATTTTAAAGGCGGTAAGTTGTTTGTTTGATAATGGTTCTGGTACTGATTCTAAAACAGTGGAATATAAATTGCTGTATTGTTTAAGGAACATAGAGATGAATTCAATTTTCGTTTAAACCTTTTCTGTACTTGTAGCTATGAGCTGCTAGATTAGTGTCATCGCTGTGCCTGTTGCTCTAGATTTGCATTCTGTACTTTCCAATATCTCATAACTTTTGTCTTATGGGTCGCCACAGTTCGAGGAGCCGAATAAACCGAACCGTACCGCCAGAACATATAGAAAGGGTTCACCGATATTATCAATATTGTTGTACCTAGTTCAGCCATCACAACTTTGGGAGCCCAGTCCCTGGACCCATTACGTACCTCTGTAATCTGTAAATACTTTTGTAACTTGTCATGATTGTGACTAGACCTACCTGGAGTTCATTACCTTTGTAAATTGTGAGTTCATTACCTTTGTAAATTGTGAATTCATTACCTCTGTAACTTGCTCAGCTATCAAAACTTTGGAGTCCAGTCCCTGGACCAATTATGTACCTCTGTAATCTTTTGACTACCGCCCACAGGATGGGTATGGGGTGCATAATAAACATATTAAACTAAACTGTTGTATTTAAGGGTAGTGACAGTTCGAGGAATTGTGTGAACCTCACCGTCGATCTCATCAAATGTTGTGATTGTTGAACCTCACCTATTGTGGTTGCAGGGGCCGACACATAGCTCCTGGCCCCTCCTCTTCGCTGCACGAGGAGGCCTAGAGACCCTACCGCCACCTCGCGCTTGTGACAACTCGAGGACTGAGAGGCCTTACTGTTGATCCCATATATACGTATGACTGTTAGTAAGCTTATTCAGGTATACATAAATACAGTTACATAGATTATCATACACAGCAACATACGTGTAGAGAACCTAGGATAACCCAAAAAAGTCAAAGTTACTTATTTCCATTGGAGTCCTCTTCAGGGGCTCAAGCGAGTCATTCCAACGAGTACTCCCAAGTATAGTTCCGCCACAAAATGTCAGCATTTCGTCCTCGGATGTCACGGAAGTTGGTGTGGTGTTCTAACCTTGCCCAGCCAGCCCTCACACCGAGTATAACAGGCTTCTTGTTTCCAACTATCCAATTATTTCGTTCATAACTAAGACACGTGCAAAACCACCTGGGTATCTTCATTGATAAAATGTTTAGACACGTTGATTTCTTCAACCCAATACACAATACTGACTGAAAAAGTCACAGTTATTGCACGAGTATCTTATTCATCAACTTATCGGTATTGTATACCATCAACGTAATATCTTTCTTGGAAAAGAGCTAAATTCGTATGGGTCATACAGCACCTGGGGAACTGGGATCAGACTTGATCCGTGCCTTGGATAAAGGTCCCTACATGAAGAGCTTTTGTAAGGGATCTCTGTACCGATGACGGGATTTGGCTGCTATGTTAGTGTATGTATACACTATGTTAGTGTATGTATACACTAGGCTGGTGCTGAAAGGAGTGAGCTGAGCCTAGCCTAGGGAAGGATAGTCTAGTACACTGCGGCGTTGGTGAGGGTAGGGAACTGTACCTAGGCTGAGGCGTTGCTGAGAGCAGAGAGCTGAGCTTAGCCTAAGGAAGGATAGTCTGGTATACTGCGGCGTTGCTAAGAGTAGGGAACTGAACCTAGCCTAGGGCGTTGCTGAGAGCAGAGAGCTGAGCCTAGCCTAAAGAAGGAGAGACTAATCCACTGTCCCGTAGCTTGATAGCTAGCACAATCAGCTCACACACTTAGGTCCGGAGTTCGAGTCCCCGGTACGGCTGGATAACATTAGGACGTGTTTCCATAAGACAC